ACAACTCAACAAAAGGAAGACAAATAATCCAATTAAAGATGGGCAAAGGACCTAAAGAGACACCTCTCCAAACAGGATATACAAATGTCCAAGAGACATATGAAAAAATGCTCAGTGTCACCAGTCATCAGAGAGATGCAAATTAAAACAACAATGAGTTATCATCTCACACCTGTCAGAATGGCCGCCATCAACAAATCATCAAACAACAAGTGATGGCGAGGGTGTGGAGAAAAGGGGACTCTAGCACACTGCTGGTGGGAATGCAGACTGGTGCAGTCACTATGACAAACACTACGGAATTTCCTCAAAAAATTAAAAATGGAACTGCCATTTGACCCAGTGATCCCACTTCTAGGAATATACTCTAAGAAACCTGAAACACCAATCAGAAAAAATATATGCACCCCTGTGTTCCTAGCAGAGTTATTTACAATAGCTAAGATCTAGAAACAGCCCAAGTGACCATCAGTAGATGCGTGGATAAAAGAGCTGTGGTACATATACACAATGGAGTACTATGCAGCTGTAAGAAGAGAAGATCTCTTATCCTTTGAGACGACATGAAGGGACCTGGAGAGTGTTATGCTAAGTGAAATAAGCCAGTCAGAGAAAGACAAGCATCACATGATCTCACTTATTTATGGAATATAATGAACAAAATAAGGTGATGAACAAAAGAAACCCAGAGACATAGAAGTAGGGTTCAGACTGACAAACTTCAGGGGGAGGGAAGAGATAAACCAAAGAACTTATGCATATAAGCATAACCAATGGACATAGACAACAGTGCTAGGGGTGGGCAGGAACAGGAAGAGGGCGTCAATGGGGGAAAAGGCGAAACATCTGTAACAAAAATAAATTAATTAAAGAAAATAATAATAAAAATGAACATATGAAAAAAATTTAGTATGCATGTTCACAGCAGCCATTCGATGCGTATTTTTCAATGAATGAATCCAACAAGATGACAAGATGCGTTGTGTCTATATTGATCCCGGTAACCAAGTCTACTAAACTAAAATCATTTTTCCCAATTGGTACATGTCACCAGGCACTAACTCACCTTGTCCTCTGATACTATAGTCATACGTGGCAAGAAAACCTATTTAGACCATAATAAAGCTCAAGATTTTGACCCGAGTCCCTCTGATGGAGGCCATGGGCATTTGGGGTAGTGAAATAGTCAAACTCCTTATTTCTTTTGGAGATTACCTGTCAATTTCCCCAGGCTTATTCTTTCAGAAACCAAGAGGGCTTTTCAAAATAGAACAACTCCTCAGCAAAAAAAAAAAAATTAAACAATCTTCATTCCATATGTTGGCCGTCACCAGATTTTTGCAAGGATGTTCAGCAGACGCATTCCCCTTTTAGTCTTGCTCCCTAAATACTGAACAAGGAAAAACACTGCCTAAGCCTGAGATCTGGCAAAGGAGTCTGAGGAAACCTGTCAGCTCTGTGTCACACGTCCCTGAGGGCTCATGGTGACTGTGTGACGATCTAGCTTCTGCTGCCCTGCCCCAGCCTTTGCAGGGAAACACAGTTCTTGTGGCTCACACGTGCTGGTCCACCAACGTGGCAGCACCTCAGGGCAAGGAAGACCTCTGACGCTGGAGAGTCCCACACAGGTGCCTTTAGTCTAAGGCAACTCCTCCTACAGCAAACCCACAGAAAGGAAAACAAAGAGGTAGCTATTCCCTTTGCAAATGAAGTGCCTTTTTTTCTCTTGAACTACCTTTAACAGATGGAAAAAACCAGACACAGAGAGGTTAAGGAATTTCACCAATTGAACACAGAAGAGGTGGAGCCAGGTTTGTTTGTTTGTTGTTTGTTTTAATGTGTCGACAACGGATTTAACAGTAAGAAAATGTCACTAGCACACCATCTGGCAAGTGTCCTTGAACAGGCAAACTGTGGGCTGCCTGAACCAGAGGTGGATAAAGGTGACTTGCTTACCAAACACGGCCTCGTGCATGCAAAGAGCACTAGTCAGAAGGTCTGGGTCCGAGTCCAGATGAGTCACTGATGAGCGTGGGACAGAGGCAAGTCATGGAACTCCTTTGCTTTGAGTTTCCTCACCCAAAGACGGAGATCATTAATCAAAGCCAGCCTTGTCTTCTTTCAGGAATGACTGGGGAAGTCGAATGAATGAAAAAGCTGTTGGCAACTCTGAGGGCCAATCCAGAAACAGGTGACCCTTGCATGTTGCCACCCGGAAACTGACCTGCAGCCATCCTTGCTCAGACTAAACCTATTTCCTCATACTAAGAAGGAGATCAGTTGGAAGGCGAGATATTTCTGTCAATCAGGGTGAGCACACAGCTCTTGCAGCATGTGTATTGCTGTTCTGAGGACACGTGATCAGCTCTGTCGCAGTCAGCCATCTCTTGGTGCCCTAGGACAGTCACACAGGCCCTAAGCCTATTATTTTATGTTTACCAGACCCTAACAAGGTGCTTAGAGTGCCCAGAACACTGAACACATTGTGAACAGACAAAAGCAACCACCACCCCACAGAACAGGCGTGGCCAAGTGTGAGAAATGAGAGGTGGCCACACTGGGCCAGGAGCTGCTGCCGCTTCTCCTCACTGCCCTGGCTGCCCTGGGTCTGCGCAGCAGGGAGGGGCCCACTCGGAGGCCCCTGTCCCCTGCTCTCCTCCCATGTTCTATCCTTGACATTCATCCATTCTAGAAGCCGAATGAGCCCTTCAGACTCTAACCAGAAAGACCATGATCCGATTGAACAAACACAGAGATGATCAGAACAATCAAAAACACAGTGGAACCTCAGTTCTCAGACTTAATTCGTTCTGGAAGGCTGTTCGAAAACCGAAGTATTTTTCCCCTTAGAAATAATATAAATTGAATTAATCTGTTTCAGACCCCCCCAAATAATTCCCTATTTCACCCCTTCTTATATGCAGTACGTGTCAAATGTACTGTTTAATCTGTAAGTAAACACTTCAAAAACAAAAAGGACATGAAATGTAAATTAAAATGTAACAAAAAGGAAATGAAATGTACAGTAAAAAATGAAAATTTAATAATAATAAGCGGCAACAAAAGCAAAAAGACGGGGAAATAGTCACAGCGCGATTTCCCGAGCCGTTAACAGCGGTAAACTGACTCCTACGGGCGCTTTCTCCCCTGTGTCGCCTGGGACACACGTGTCTGATCAATCACACAGGTGTCAGCGTGAAAGGGCTGTCGGGTTGAGAAGAGAATTGTTCGAGATGGAAGAAGTTCGGAAACCGAGGTTTGAGTGTAATAACAACACAAACGTAGTACCTAGAAAGCTCTGGACGGGTTCACGGAGCCTGTCGGAAAACCAGCACTGGGGCAGGCGCGTCACAGGGCAACCGCGGGAGAGACGACTGCCCAAGACAGAGCACAGCGCAGCTCAGTCTTGAGTGTGCATCAGAACCAGCCCGGGTTCGTGAGAAAACACAGAAACCCAGTTTCCGAGTCAGTCTCGAATGCCAGTGCCGGTCCAGAGACTCACTTGAAAAATCACTGTCATGGTAAATGAGCCAGAGCCGCCCAGACTGTCATTCTCCCTGGGGTGACTTCAGATCCTGATTCATCCCCCACCCCCACCCCCAAAGTGAGCCGTAAGGAAACTCCTGATGGGAATGTAACAGCCAACCTGCCCTCCTCCCCTCCCCTGTCCCCTGCACACACCCACGCTGCTAGGGATGAGGGGGACAACGACTATCAAGCCATTCCGGATAAGTGTCTCCCAAGGCTGAGTCCAGTTCTCACCTGCGTACAAGATAATTTTGCACAAGAGTGACTTACGCTGCAAAACAGAGGACATGGCAGTGCAGGGAGAGCGCTCAGGGGCCCCTGGGTCAGGTCTCCGAGCTGGTGCACGGTCCCTCTATCCTCAGTGATGAGAGGATGCCACAGGGGCAGCGCCAGCGACACGCTGTGACCTGGTTTTCTCCTCACTTATCTTGACACTCTGGCACTTTGCGTTGTGATTCCCACCCCCCACCTCAAACTCACTTCATGTCACCAGACTGCCACCAGGTCAGTGTCACCAACAACCCAGCGCAAAGGAAAGCAGCGAGTGCCACGCCTCTGGAGGGCGTAAGGCTCAGAGGAGTTCTGACCTGGAAAGGACCATAAAAATACCTCTTTCCTTCCCAAAGCTGATTACATTATACAATTCGCTATTTCACGAACAGCCGGAATTACAGCTACAACAATATTGTTTCGTTTTTTATGGGGGCCGCTGGCAGAAGTTCCTACAGAGAGCACTGTTGTGAATAATGTAAACACTGTGATAAGAGCCCATCCCACAGTCTTTTCTCCCGTGGTACAGTCGGGAAAATGTGGCCACTATTCACCACAGGTCAGTGTGACCTCTTTGGGCTATGGGACAGAAGAGGTTACATACATCTGGGGCTGCAACTGTGGGCCTGGAAAACCAACTTCAGGCTAAATAAGGAAAAAGCATGAAGAGTGATTCATTCGTGGCATTTTGGTAAATATACACCATGCATGTGTTTGCAAATACCTGGTGTTTACGCTGATTTTGTGCACACAATTAAGCACTTTTAGTGAAATTAATGTGACTTTTGCACTCATTAAAAAAAAAAAAATTCCGACTAGCTCTTTCTCACATGCAAAATTGCGGTCTAGTTCCCAGGCTCTGAGGGCTTAGTGTGGTATAAGCCCACAAAGACTTGAGTCAAACAATATTCTCCAAAGCAGTAACACCAATACAATCTCCACTTACCCCCAAATTATGACTTGATCCCAGCTATATCATGTTCATGATACCGGCCACAAGCCCAGACAGCTGTATTCTGAAAATTCTGGAGCAGAGGGAGCGCTCAACTGCAGGTGATGATATTGGCTGGGGCCTCAAGAACACTGATTAAATACTCTTGCCCTCTTCCTACCCCCAAGAAAGTCCGCTCGTTTGCATGTGAGGATGAAGCCGTACAAGAACTGTTTGCATACCCAACACACGTGGTGGTTCCTGTCCTCACCTGTTCTCCAGGAGCGTCATGCACACCACCTCTCGAACCCCGGGGTTGTTGGCCTTCTCCAGAGAACAGCCCTGCAAGTTCCAGGTGGCCAGCCTCAGCACAGGCCGCCCATCCCTTGTGCCTCCAAAGGCCTCCACGGAAGGCCGAGTAGAGATAATCTGAGTGGGCCCACCTGGCGGCAGGTCCAGGTCCTCACTCTGCAGGCTCAGCGAGGTAGGGCTAGGGTGAGGCTTGGCAGTGAAGGTCAGGCCCCCGTTGGTGTGGGTGGACGGGGGCCTGGACCGCTCCGCAAAGACCTGGTGCCGTATCTTGTCCAGGAAGGCGGCATTAATACCGCCCATCTTCACGAGGTCCTCGATGCTGCGGAAGGGCCCATGCTCTCGGCGGTAGTCCACGATGCTGACAGCCATCTTCTCCGTGAGGCCTCGGACGCTCATGAGCTGAGCTAGCGTGGCCGTGTTGATGTTCACACGTGGGGTAAGGGGCACGGTGGTGGCCAGGTGGTGAGGCTGCTGCTCAGCCAGCAGGTCCCGCCGCATGGAGCTGGGAGAATGCTGTGCGGAGCTGCCCTTGCTGCTCACGCAGATCTCGAACTTGACCTGCTCTAGCTTGGTGGCGCCCACGCCGCTGACCAGTGCCAGGTCCTCCACCTTCTTGAAGCCACCGATGTACTCGCGGTACTCCACGATGCTGCGTGCCACAGCACGTGTCACCCCAGGCAGGGTCATCAGCTCCTCCTCCGTGGCCGTGTTGATGTTCAGCCGCTCCTGATTCACCAGGATGTTGCTGAAGTTGCAGGCTGCGCTGAACTTGCGACTATGGGACAGGTCAGAGGGGTCCCGGGGAATGGAGCGGTGGCAGCCCAGGGTGCTCCCCATGTCCGGCCAGGATCCGGGGCCCAGGAAGGTCTCACCACCGCAGAAGAAGTCTCTGGCTGGGAAAGAAGCCCAACAGACCTACAGGCACAGAAGGGCGTCCAAAAGTAGCTTTCACTTGGCCACCTGGAAAACAAATGAATAAACACACGAATCAACTGAAGCAGTTAATCAATTTGCGTTCGCACTCCTACTGAGAGCTGAAGTTCTCCACCAGCAGTCCCGGGCTGCTGGCTGCCCTTGACCCCTGAACACACAGCGAGGCTGGCCTCTGCGAACTGTCCTCTGAGGAGGTCTGGTTTTATCACCCTGGGATCCAAAAAGGCTGCCAGTCGCCACTCTTGGAAAAAGACCTATCCCATCAGCCCACACCCCTTGCTCCTGCCGGAATTCCGTCCTCACTAGTGCGAGCCCGGAGGGTTCATCGATTCCCACCAGACCCGCCGCCTTCCCCGCGCCCCACCCGGGCGTCCTTCGTTCACCTGCGGCTCCAGAGCCGGAGCCCAGCCCCGGACAGCGCTGGGGCCCTGCCTCCAGCCCCGGTGCCCGCGCGGGTGCGGGTCAGGGGCCGGGCCACAGGATCCCTCCCACGCCGCCTCGGGACGCGCGTCGCGGTTCTTTCTGCGGGAGAAACTCTCAAGTCGCTCTCCGAGAGCCGGCAGAGATGCAGGGCTGCAGAGCGGCGGCAACCGCGGCGAAATCCCGCCGCCGCGGCTGCACTGGTCTTGCAGCTGCACCAGGACTTGCGGCGGCGCCGCAGTTGCGTTGAGCCAGGCAAAAAGTCCTCCGCTCCACTCCGACGCGGGAGCCGCCAGAATCGCATCTAGTGCCCGGCACCAGCGCCCGGATCCCGCTCGCCGTGGGTGTCAAAGCCAAAGTCCCGGCCTTACCGCCCGCGCCTCCTCCGGCACCACGGCCAAGCCTCCCGCGCGGCAACTCCACCCCGGGACTCCCGAGGGCACGTGGGGGCGGGGCCAGAGCGGGAGGCGGAGGCCAGGGAGAGCGGAACCAGAGAGCGCGGGGGCGGGGCCCTGGAGTGAGAGGGGAGGGGCTCTGAGTGCGGGGGGCGGGGCGGGGGCGGGCCCGAGCGCGTAGGGGTGGAGATGAGACACGGGAGCGTGGAGGCGTGGCTTTGGCGGGAGGGGGCGGTCTCGGGAGCTAGGGGGCGGGGCCGACGCCCTGGCGGCTGCGGCGAGTCAGGGGAGGGCGGTGGTGGGGGCCCGTGGTCCTGACCTGGGATTGCTACCCAGGTCCGAGGGCTGGCTGTGCGGGTCGGTGGCTGTTTAGTGTCGCCCGGGGCCAGACCTGCGGAACCCCACAGAGAAGAGGGGCGCCCCGAGATGGACGCTACCAGGCCTCCGGCAGAGTTTAATTCGTCTTTGGGGCTTGGGGCAGAGACAGCACACCTTGGGAGGGAGGCACCCCTGCGGGTCAGGGACCTGTTGGGTTCTGCAGTTAAATATAAAAACGTTCGAGAAGGGATTGGATGGGTTTTTGTTTTTGTTTTTGTTTTTTTTTCATTCTGCCCCTCACTTTTGACCTCTTTTCTTCCACTGGGGTATTACCTTTGCACTGCTCACACAGCGATGTCCTCCAGCGATGCTAGTAACTTAGCACGCTGTGCTGCTGGGTTAGGGCACACACCACCCTTTAGAATGTGTTCACATGTTACTTACAGGGTTGCACATTTGCACACTAAGCGCTGAGTAAACAAGGATGTTTCTTTAAGCATTAAATCTAGTCATGGTTGGAAATGAAGGCTGCTTCCCAAAATTCAGAAGTTTTGAGATCATACCACGAAATGACATTTGAGTTAAAGATTAAAGATGCTGCAGCATTAAAGTGGACACAGGAAACAAACCACATGGTGACCATTAAATACCCTGGTCACTTAGTGTTCTCTGAAGTTTCATCCCCAACCAATGTGACCAATGCTGTAAAGTCCCAGGGCCCAGTCAGCAGAAACTAACTCTTAGGGAACACAAATGTGAAATGAGTGGCAGCCAAGGCTTGGAAAAGTGCTATTGTCTTTGAGGCACAGTCCCCTACAGTGCATACCGTTCCGCACTCTTAATTGCAAGTGACAGAAATCCAAGTTAAACTAGCTTAGGCAAAAGGGGGGATTTCCTGGTTTTTGCTTAGAAAAGTTAAGGAGTAGATCCTTCCTCAAGCATGGCTGCATGATCCAGGCTGTCCACCCACAGCATGGGGTCATGGCTAGTTGGATTACAAATAGAGAAACCTCATATTTTCTATCCAAAACAGGACACTTTGGAGGGTAAGAACTTCACAGGCACAACAGGCATAAGCTGGACTTATTCCCTGTAAATCGAAGCATGTGTCCCCTTGGTGAAATGAAGCCAAGAGTAGCTAAACTGCTATGCATTAAAATAAACAAAACCCAATGCGATGGTTAAATTTTAAATGACTGGCCATAGCAAGTGTTGGTGAGGATGTGGAGCAATTGAAACGCTCATACCTTGCTGGTGGGAGTGTAAGATGGTACAACCACTTTGGAAATCAGTTTGGTAGTTTCTTAAAAAGTTAAACATATATTCACCATACGACCCAACCATTCCATTCCTAGATACTTAACTAAAGAAAAATGAGAGCATGAAATTCAAAGACTTGTATGTCACTGTTCCTAGGAGCTTGGCATAGCCAAAATTCAGAAATAACCCAAAATGGATAAATAAATTGTGGTGTAGCCATACAATGGAATACAACTGAGAAATAAAGACAAACTATTAATACACACAACACTGACAAATCTCAAAATCATACTGAATGAAAGAAGCCAGGCCAAAAAAAGAGAGAAAAAAATGTATTGTATAATTCCATTTATATGAAACTCTAGAAAAATACAAGCTAATCCACAGAGAACAAAAGATCAACAGATGGTTGGTGATGCAATGGAGGGAGGAATAGGTGAAAAAGAACACAGGAAATTGCGGGGGGGGGGGGTTGAAAATGTTTGCAAGGTCATAGTTTCACGAGCGTACATATGTCAAAACTCATAGACTTGTACACTTTGAATATGTGAGGTTTAGTAGACTTCGATTTACCTCAATAAAGTTGAGAAATATCTTCAAAAAGTAAAAAGGAATGCTCTTTGAACTTAAAAACAAAAAACAAAAAAAAAAACAGATGAAAAGATGGGGTTACTTGGGGGAGTAGGTGACCCTGAGTGGAGAGGAGGGGATTGGTAGGGAGCAAAGGATGCCCGAGAAGTTGCGTTTTGAGCTAACAGAAGAGACGCCCAGTTGAGATGGGGTACCACGAGCGAGGACACCCTGTCATGGTTTGGGGCTTACAGATACTGAAGTGTTGGCCTCAGAGCAGCATTTAGCATGGAGATGTGACCCTCGGGCCTTGTTTTCCCAAAGCCACAGCTCCAAATGCGGTCCCCTTTACAACTCATTGACATTGGTCCCATCCTTAGAATGGTCTCATCAGGGTCCCATTCCCCTCAGGGAAAGTGGTTTTGGCCGTGGTGGTTTTCTAGTTGGGTCAGAGAATTTTGAAGCATTCAGGGTCCTTCTCTGGTAAAGGGGTAGATAGGCATCTTGTGACCGCTATCACAATAAGCAGGGTGGTCTTTAAAACTACTGTATTGAAACAAGAAATGGCGTTGATTGACAGCCATTGTCCCTCCCCCACGAGCACAGAAGACCAGAAGGAGAAGACCGGAAGAAGAGAAGCACGCCAGGGACAACCTGCCAGTCCAGCCTCTGAGGTTATGCAGGTGGGGCGGAGGGACCGACCTGCAGCTAGGGCCAGGGGGTCTCCTTTGTCTCCCAAGTACCCCGTGGCAGCCCTTTAAGCTCAGCAGTTATCTTGGAGACCATGCTTCTTAAGGCCATGGAGCTGGGGATATCTTCTAATCGGAACCCTGTCAACGAGGCGGGGCAGGTGACACACCTCCATGCCCCACCGCAGCACATCCTCTTGAGCGGGGGCTGTGCACCTACAGCCTTATGTACCTTTGCTCTGTTCCCACCCACAACTGTTTGTGTCCAGCACCTGGAGGATCTCCTGCACCTCACTGGGCTCCGAGGGGCTCGTGATCTTTACATTCCACGTGAAGTGCAGGGAGCATGCTTGACCTCCTGACGTGCCTCCTTATTTATACCCCTGCCTCGGTGGGCTGAGGTTTTCTTCCCCACTCTGCTTCAGCTCCATCGTGGTTCTTGCCGGCTTGACTGAAACACAGATGCAGATGAAAGCAAAGGACGTTCACCTTTCCACTGACTCCTGCCAGCCCTGGCCACTGCCCGAGGGGGCTGGGGTCGTACCACCAGGAGAATTCTGGTGATCATGCACCTAAGCTGCCCTGTGTGCAGGAAGTTTCCTTTGGAGGATACACCCTGGGGGAAGTAGGTTCCATCTGGGGCTCTGCTCCTGCTGCTGGTACATGGGTGCAGGGGGAGGCCACAGGGCCATGCTGGGAGCTGTGCTGGGATGATCCTCCCCAGGTCACATAGGGGACAGCAGGCACTTTGTGCTGCTGGACTTCCGTCCTCCTCAGGCCACTGATGGTCTGTGTTGCTGCTCTAACTGTTCTCAGAGCAGAGATTAAAGGTGGGGATGGCGGGCTCGCTGAAACTCCACTGCTTTGGCTTGGCAGAGACCCTGGGCTATACTTGCAGGACAGATAAGGAGGACAGCTATTGGTGGGATCCGCCAAAGGAGCGGCCTCCGGGTTGATAGGTTAGTCCTCCAGCTGTGTCTCTTGTAGGCCAGGAGCATAGAGGTGAACATCACTTCATCATACTTCTGACCAATCCAGGAGTCCAGGATCCCTTTGCATGTATAGCCCATGGACACCATCAACTGTCTGCCCAGGGTCCTTGTAGTCTCTGTAGCAGACGTTAGTCCCTCCCATGGCCCATGCTCATCCGTGGGTCCTTCACCATTTCCTCTAAAGGCCTCCCTTGGTGGGGTTGAGGATGAAGAATTTCTTGAGCAGGTCTTCCATGGACATGTAGAAAGGAATATTGAATATTGAATATCCTGCTCCTGAAAAAAAAAAAAAAGAGAGAGAGAGAAAGAAAAAAGAATAAAAAAATAAAAATGAGAAAACTTGAAAAGACTAAGAGAAAAAGAATAAAATGAAAAAAAAAGAGGGAAAGGCAAAAATAAAGAAAAAAAGAGAAAAATTAAAGGGGAAAAATGAAAAAAATTGAATTAGAAACGTTAAAACAAAAGAACAAAGAAAAAGTAAGTAAAAGAAGAAAAGAATAGAAGGGGAAGGGGAGAAAAATGGTAAGCAAAATAGACAAAAAGCCAAAGAGAAAAAAAATTGGCTCAAGTCCTTTAGGTGGCACAAGCCGGTTTCCTGACCTAGCAGGACCGTGAACCTGGGCCAGCCAGGGACGTACGTAGGTGCTGGAACTCCGTAACTATGGCTCCTCCTGAGGTCGGAGCAGGAAACAGACCTGTCACAGCTAGGGAGAGTCCACAGGGATTTCCTTACCCCTTTGTGCCAAGAATGCTTTACTGTTCAAAAAACAGTATCGCCCTGGCTGGTTTGGCTCAGCGGTCGGAGCATTGGCCTGTGGACCAGAGAAGCTGGGTTCGGTTCCCCCTAGGGGCACATACCAAAAACAAACAAACAAACAAGAAACAATATCAACTAATCAAAAATAGGATCTTTTGTTTAGATGGATAAACGAGGTTCCTAGACCCAATTCCAATGAGGGGGAGGGGGTCCCCCAACACCAACAATTCTCAGACACCAGGAGGGGGGTCCAAGAACTCAACTTAATTCTGACACTACCCAGAGATAGCATCAGATTCCACAGGTTAAGGGTTCAATCCTACAAAACCGTATGGCCTACACACACACACACACACACACACACACACACTTCAAATGCCAGACCCAAGCCCAAGTTGTTACC